CATCGGGCCCCACGGGAGGCCCTACCACCACTTTTCCCCCTTCCCCCTTCCCTCCCACCATACACCCCCCTCCCTCACCCCACCAAAAATCAAACCCTCCACCCCCCACCCCCCCTCCGCGCCCTCCACCAGAGCACACCCACAAACCCCGCCCCCAGCAACAAACAAACCCCGCTCCAAATCTGAACGCCGCGAAAATCCGTCGTCTCTGTCCAGACACCGTCTGCGTTGCGCTGCCGGGAGCGGCCGAGCAGGGCGCCGGCGATCGGAGCGCCGATGAGGGTGGCGATGCTGGAGACGCTCCAGGACATGCCGAGGCGGGTGCCGAGGCGGGAGAGGTCGGGGGTGATGTTTGTGAAGGCGGCGGAGGGGATGGTGACGAGGGCGGCGGAGAAGAAGCCTGGGTGGGGGTGGTTAGTTTGGAGTGGGATGGAGTATTTGATGGCGAGAGGGAGGAAGAAGGGTAGTGAGTGAAGTGTAAAAGGATTGGGTAAAGGAAGATAGACATCAACATACCCCACAAAATACTAAACGCAACAAACTCCCTCTCCCTCCGAATCCCCATCCAACACAACGCCAACACCCCACTCGCAAACGCATTAGCCCCCCACGTCACAATCGCCCCCAAATAATGCGCCGTCACCCCACTCGCCAGCCTCCCAAAGAAGCTCCCCGCAATAGCCAGCACCAACATGTACAGCGCGGTGCTCTCGTCGGAGCCGAGGCGCTCGCGTGCATACGTGGGTATGTAGAAGAAGGGCACAATGTAGCCGAGAAAGGTGGTGAAGGAGCAGCAGGTGAAGATGAGGAAGAGGGGGTCGCGCAGGGCGGATTTGTCGTATAGGGCGCGTCGTTTGCGGGGGCGCTTGAGCCAGGCGGAGCCGCTGAGGAGGGCGGGGATGGAGAGTAGGGCGCAGGCTAGGGCGACGAAGCCGATGGCGCGTATGGCCCAGGGGAAGGTGGAGGTACGGAGGAGGCGGTTGAACATCATGATGTAGATGACTCCTCCTGTGGGGGTTGATGTTAGTGTAATTGTCGATGGGGAATCTCCCCCGAGTGGTGCTCCAGATGATGCCTTGAGAATTGGAGATTGATATCGAAGCCGTGAAAAGGGAAGAGACAAAGATAAAGCTACGGATTGTAGGAAACAAAGGTAAAATACATACCAACCGCAATCCCACTCATCACTATACTAGTCGCCAACACCCTCTTCTTACTAAACCAAACCCCGACCAGCGCCAAACTCGGTATATACAGCAACCCGGCCCCGGCCCCCATACACAGGCCCTGACTCAAAAACACCTGCCAGTACGTCGTGCTCAGGCTCAACATCATGATGCCCACCACGACGAGGAAATTGCCCACCAGCAGCATGGAGCGGAAATACCCGAGATCGAAGAGCGGGCCAGAGGCGGTACCGATGACGATGAGGAGCCAGGCTTGGGTGGTGCCGATCCAGGAGATGGCGGAGGGGGTGGAGGTGCGGAGGAGGGTGGTGCGGTAGTAGGATTGGAAGGCGCCGTAGGTTAGAGTGAAGCCCCTGGGTGATTGGTCGTTAGTATGTATATATATATATATATATATACCTATGATGTGGATGTACATTTTGGATGGGTGAAGTGCATTGATTGTTGCATTGCTTGGGACGGGGCAGGATTATTCGACGAACCAGATGTTGATATAAATCATAAACCCGCCAAAAACCTTGAGCCAAGCGTGAAGCCCGCCATCGGGAGGTGGAGGGATAGTCGACTCCGTAGTGCGTGTGGACCTTGCATCTAATTGCGCTTCTTTATCATGGCTCGTCGTCTCGTCGTTGTTGTTGACATGGACGTCTTCCTGTGCAATGGCCTGTTCGCCAGTCGTGCAAGGTCTAGCGGAGCATTCTTGCTTATTTTCGACGACATGGCTATTCTTCGACTCAGTTGATTGGGACGACATTGGCCTGTTGTTGTGTGGCTTGCGTGGACGTCTATCGTAGACTACCAGTCTAAAGCCCTCTAGTTTAGGTAATCGCGAAGCCTCGAATGTCTTCACTTTTTAAATCTGCTCAAGCGTCCAAGACATTTCCGACTAGGGCCCAGATCTGTTGACTCATTCAATGTAGGTAGGAATCTCACTTCTTTTTGTGCGCCGCGGAAGAATGCCGTGTCCGGTAGGGATATTCGTGCCGATTCCCGAACCTGGTTCTCGGGGTAACGTGATCCACCACCGAGCGCCCACCCCCACCGAGCGCCCACCAACACCAAAATCACCAAATTTTCAACACTAAATTTCTTAATAACTATAGCACCTATTAATAACGCGCTTGTAGCAATTAAATCCTTAACTCTTAGAGAAGATTTTACATACTTAGAAATAGTAGAAAAGTATAGTTGCTTGCAGTTAACCTTATCTAGACGCTACTAGAAAATTTAGTAGGTGTAAGGTTCTAGTTGTAGGCAATAGTATTTGCTTCACACTAGATAGAATAGTATAGAGATAGCTATTAGTATAGTATTAATATAAGAATAATACTTATCTTACCTAAGCCCTATATAAAGCGCAGGTTTTACGTAGCTTAGGCGCTAAGATACTAAACCTAGCTAGGGATACACCTAATTAACTAGAACACTATAAGGTATCTTTATAATAAGGTTATTATAGAATCTCCCTCTCTAGCTATAGTCCCTAGTAGTAACCTATAGCCTTAATAAAAACCTTACCCTATAGGGAAGGAAAAGAGTATCTATAGTTTAACCTATAGATATGTAAAGGACTTAGGCTTATACCTAAGCCTAGGTCTAACACAAGATAGACTAAGTCTAACACTAGAATTACCATGAAAACTACACTGACTCTCATAAACGTCGT